AAGTTACACCACGATTCAAAGTTACCCGAATTGACTGTATATAAAAAGATTTTCATTTTTCTTATAATCTATTTCACCGACTAACTCCATAAACGCTATTGGATAACGATATCATATCCGAATCGAACGTTTATCTCGAATGTTCTGAATAGCTCGGCAAGCGCCTTTCGATTCGAGATACGAATCGGTTAAATATCGAAAAGATTCTGAATCGAGTCCTGGACTTTCCTGGACTTAATGGTGTCTTAATGGTGGTAGTTTTGTACGGGCGAGTTCGCGAAATGGACAAATCCGGACGGCCTCGGTCAACGTGCGTGATGTATTAACTATATTTGGTGAACACTACCTGTGTCAGGTGCTAATACATAGGTAAATTCTGCAATATCAAACGCTCACCCCGGACCATTGACTTACAATTATATGGACGTCGGGTCCGCGCTAAAAAGTGTCCGCACTTGTAAGGCGCTAAAATCGTATACAGAGCGCCAAACTCCGCTTTAGTCTTCATTTGTTCGACTGACAGCGCGATACTGCGATGACATTACAATTTAAATTTCGAATAGGTTGACTTGGGACATTTTTTTTCGTGGTTTTTGTATTAGACCCGTCGTCCATTTATTTGTAAGTCAATGCCCCGGACACTCAATACAGTGGTTGCAACAGCAAGGCGCTGTCTGCACACGCGCAAATGTGTGCGTGAAGTGACAGGGTTATCCGTCACTTTATCGTACTTATTACGTTACGTGGTTAGAGCGAAGAGAGAAATAAATGTAGGCCATACAAATATTTCTCCCGGCCCGGGAATCGAACCTGGGACCTCTGCGTGGCATTCTAGCATGGCAACCGTTCGGCCACAGAGGCAGTTAAGTGTGTGCGTTATTATAAAAAAAATATTAATACAAAGATCGAACACTTAGAAAAACGACTGTGAACTGGCAACCGGTACTATCTTAATTTTGACAATTTTACAGAAAAGAATTGTTTGCATCATTTATAAAGTTTCTGGTTAGAAGGTAGTACAAGTTCAGTGAAGTCGAGTCTAGCGCCAAAGTTAAATGTATCTGAGATGGAATTTCTTGCAATGCTGCGGAGTAAGAAATATTATAAAATGGTATTAAAAAGCGAAATCTTTGGAAAATCTAGATAGTACCGGTTGCCAGTTCACAGTCGAAAAGTTCTTGCAATCCGGCCAGATTGGTGGGGAAACATTTAATTTAGAAACAAAAAAATTTAATTTAGAAACATTAATTCTAATCTTCAACAGGTTCAAGGAAAATCTTCCCAAAATGTTTCCTAATAAACAACTCCAAAAATTTGACTAAACATTTATGGCCTCTTGTAAAGTTAAACGAAATTATGAAAACCTTAACTAGAATAAGTCCCGAATGAATTGAAGGATTATTTGTAAAGTCGAAAACTGTTGTCTTAATTTGAAGAACTCTCAAGAACAATATTTACGAGTTATGATAATATAAAACAGATTCTTGCTTAAAGTTAATTGTTTTCCTTGTTTTGAAATTGTTGTCAACTGTATTAAATTAAGAGTTTTAGACATAATTAAAAACTGGTTTCATTAACTTCTAGTTCCATTTGCTTATCAGCCTTTCCAATACATAATATAGGTCTAATAAGGCTGCTAACGGATTCATTATCAACTTCACGCGTTAATTCCAAATATGTAGTCAATCTGTTAGCAGCCTAAACATTCACCAATGCACATTACTCACATGGACGAATAACTCAAAAGGACTGTGCTAATCGCGTTACAAGACAGCGCGTAGTCGAATATTTAGTATCTTTTGGTCCACCAGATGTCGCGGCGAGTACCAAACAGCTATTTTTGTAACTAATTTGTTTTATATTGACGGGCTGCAATTTGTCACAGCTACTCTAATTACTAGTGATAACAAACAAATCAACCAGATGGCGCTTATTATACAGATTTTTATATATCGCACTGCTAGTACAATATTGTTGTAACTCAAAACATGTCAAATTTAATATTATATCATTATTGAACGTAAAATTTAATTCTCTACATGTCAAAAAAACCGTCGTTAGAATATTGTAAGAAACAATCAAAAGATATCTACGTAACTCAAAATGAGATACACTTTATGTGAGCTCGTTCTGGCCAAAATAATCCATATCCAAAAATATAAAATTATTTTTTCCATTTTATTTTTAGATATATTTGGGAAATTGTTTGTGTCTATAATAAACTATAACATATACTATTTTAATGTTTTTTTACGGGGAGTGAGTAATCGTATTTCATTGATTCTGAGAAAGTCCACTTTTTGAGTTAATACGTGTGGCGCACTATAACTTTCCGGAATGAATAAGAAAAAAATACTATAAATATCAGAAATAAATTTATTGTTTCTCAAAATATTCGCCGTTAGCGTTAATGCACTTTTTCATACGAATGAACCAACTTTGAAAACATTTATGCCACTCCTCCGTGACAATTTCTGAAACATATTTTTCATACTCTTCGACAGCCTCTTCAGGTGATGAAAATCATTGACCTTAATTTTTGAAAATAAATAAAAGTCACAAGGGTCGAGACTGTATGGCTCATAACTGTATGGTGGGATGGCTCATAAGGTCAACGTTGTTCACCTTCAAATATTCATTTGTCTGTCTGGCCGTGTGAGAACTGACATTATCATGGGGCAAGATATACGGCGTTTTTATGGAGTAATAATATAATATAATAGAATATTTTTATGGAGTTTGACAATAACTTCCGGCAAACAAATGGTCGTGTACCAATCACTATTCACGGTACAACGATTATCCAAAGCAATAGTAGCCACGTGTCCAGTTTTATTAAAAAAAGAAGCAATCATCCGCTTAGAGGCAATTTGCACGCGCGCCATTTTGTTTGGTTTCGGCTCATCTCGAAAGACCCGTACGCTCGATTGCTGCTTTGTTTTGGGATCGTAACTATAAATCCATGTTTCGTCACCTGTTACTATGTTCCACACCAAATTTGACGCCCCTTCGTTGAATCTGGTAAGCATGGCATTGTACCAAGTGACGCGATCCGTTTTTTGAGCCTCAGTCAAATTGTATAGGATCTACCGAGGGCACAGCTTTTTCACACCCAAATGTTTGTGTAGTATTGATTTTATTTGACTCATGCCTATGCCTAAAGATACCCGAATCTCATGGTATGTCACATGCCTGTCTGTTATGATTATACGGCGCACAGCATCGATGTTTTTGTTGCTCACAACAGTGGACGGGCGACCATCACGAAATTCGTCACTAAGATTCACACGACCGCGTTTGAATTCTGTAAACCGCCAAACTGCCATCACCAAAAGCGGTTTGAAGCCAAGCGAAGCTCCGCTGAGCTGTAAAATTATACTTAAAGTCGTATAAAATTATACTACGCAAATTTTCACGAGTTAAATCCATGGTGACGTAGACAACCAATTTCTAAAACGACGCCACAATGTAAAAACAAGTGACAGTCAGTATTAAAGTAAACAAACTGTATTCTACAGGCAAAGAGCTCTATTTTCAAATGTTGTAATTACTTTTCAAATATTGTTTATGTAAGTGGCCAGTTCGGGAAACTTATAGTGTGCCTACTGAAACCAATAGTGCGATATAGTGCCGGCTATTCTTTTACTTTGTTTAGGATTAGCGCCATCTACCCATATTAGAAAGGGTTAATTTATAAAATCAACTTGTAACACACGATGCCATCTATTGACTCACATATTTATATTTTAATAGCAGTAGAACTTCGTGTGAGAAAGTTCGTCCAGTGAAGTAGGTACTTCCACCTTACCTATTTCTGCCGCCAAGCAGTGATTTGAATATTACTGCGTTCCGGTTTTGAAGGGTAATGGTGCTGGTGAAATAACAAACACATGGGACTTATGGGACTTGTCAACTTATCGGCTGTGAACTGGCAATCGGTACTATCTCAATTTCGACAACTTTACAGGTGAAGAAAGAAATTGTTTGCGTCATATAAATAGCATCTGGTTTATTCATTGACTTACAATTATATGGACGTCGGGTCCGCGCTAAAAAGTGTCCGAACTTATAGGGCGTTAAAATCGTATACAGAGCGTCATTCACGCTTTAGTCTTCGTTTGTTCGACTGACAGCGAAGCAAGCAAAATTAGACAGTACTGCGATGACATTACAATTTAAATTCAACGTTTTAGCTTTTTCATATTCCTTTACATGTCACTACGTTTAAATAGGTTGACTTGGGACATTTTTTACGTGGTTTTTGTATTAGACCCGTCGTCCATTTATTTGTAAGTCAATGGGTTTATTAGATAAAAATACGTAGTTTTTAAATATTTTTATTACACATGCATGTATGTACACTACGTATTTTTGTTTAATAAAGCAGATGCTATATAAATTAATTTTTCTCCATCCTTTAAAGTTGTCAAATTTGAGATAGTAGACTTTTCAACTTATGTCTCAGAATGATGGGCACAGTTGCAGTGCCTCTCAGATATGTGCGATTTAAAGCTCGGAGCGGCACTGCAACTGTTACGGACAGGCGTGTCGCTTACCATCAGGTACACGATTTGTTCGTTCCATCACTTAGTAACATAAAAAAAAACATTGAGAAAGTTCAGAAAATTATTTTAGGTCATGATCTACAATTGAATAATATTGAATCTGACTTCTTATTTTCATATTAAAGAGGAATCAGTTGACATCTACGGACATTTACATAATACAAATTCTTCCAGGCGTCAGCACCATCTGAATATAAAACTGAATTTTGACCTTTTTGAAAGTTACGATCTGTATGTACGAGTATGTATGGCGAATTGCATGGCATTCCTCTGGATTTATTAGCGAATACTTGCTGCCACAGGAACCGTCGACTTTTCACCCGACTTCTCGACCAATCATAATCGGTAGCCTGTCGTCGGTGATGTGGTAGATACTCAGACATGATCCACCACGAAAATATGTATAACATAAAATAATATTTTAAAGAACCTCACCTGGGCGATTTGATCAAATCTTCCAAACAGCTCATTCAACGTCTTCACCAAATCAGAGGCACTGAGTCGTTCTGACAGTGGTGTAAAGTTGACAATGTCAGCGTACAGAATGCTGACGTTATTGTGTCTCTGGACGTGCATTTCGTGAAAACGGGTTTGTTTCGAGCTGTCAGCGCACGCGTCCGCCATCTTGAGCATTATTGAACGCTTCACCTGAAACAACGGATAATGTTCTTGATTTAGGTGCCTACAACAATGCTTGTCACTGATTTTGTCAGAGAATAGAAAGTATATAACAAAAATATGTAGGTATCTGCAGTATTTTTCATCAGTAAAAGAGGCTGGGTCAATGTGGGTTGGAAGCTTAATAAAAAAGTATTCGGAGAATTCGTAATACCACTTTAATATTTTTAGGTTAGCTTTTTAGTATAACTTTTCGATAAAACTTTTAAAAAACTATTTTTTAAATCTCAAAGCGCCTTGAAAAACTTTATAGCAAACACACAAAATATTTTTTATTGCCTCGAGACTGATTGCTGTTTATATGTTGGCAGGCGCAATAGCCTGTACTGTGCGTATCACGTTTTTTTGCAGAAGTACCAGCAAGGTTCGTAGAAAGCAAATAACCTTAGAAAACTAGGAAATGAGCCGTACAGTCTGCCTTGTACAGTAATTTTAAAGATTTTCATGATAACTAGGTCAAATAACAAAAATTTAACGCTAAGTAAGTATTAATTCTTACAGATTCATTTTACCGGTATTTATTTTATGACTCTCGATAATTTAGATATAATTAAAAATCTTTACGGTATCTGCGTATTTTTAAGTAGATTGCACTTAAATATTTGTATTAAAAATATCAATGTAATGGTTCAATACTGGACTGTCCTTAAAATGAGAATTTACTGTAACTGTAGCGATCTTTTGGATTTAAATATTCCACCATAGTTACGAGATGTGCTGTGGTCTCATTCGTGACCAGGCTATTCTCATGCAATTCTGTGTGCCAACTTGTTTAACACTCCAAACGGTCTACATGGGAAATTCAACCTTTAAGGACAGCTATTTCGTAAAATGCACGTACGATCTTTTCTTACATATTGTATAAATACTTATTTTTTTAAAACATTACAAAATAGTACTTATGACTTGTTTTATCGATACTTCGAGTAGAAGGGGCGTAAATGTTAATTGTTACTGATGTAATTGGGTTACATTTCAAGGTCCGTGGGTGTGTTTCAGGGTTGTTGCTGATACAGGTTTTTTACACATCTGGAATTATGATATGGATGCTGAAAAAACCCGACAAATGTACATCCTTAATGAATCTATCTCTTAATGAATAATCTCAGTACTGAGAGAGAACTAAAAAAACCGACCTCAAAAGTCATTGGTCCCCTACCAGTTTGCCAATTAATTAATTTCCATTTCATTTAATACATGGCAGTCACAAGTGGCGACGAGGTTACTAATAGAGATGGGAAAAACAGCTTATTTGTTTAAACGTTTAAGCGTTATGCTTTTTTTAAAAGTTTGCTTTTTTAAACGCTTTTTAGCTTGAAGCTAACAAAACCAATTAGAAAACGTTTAAGCGCATAGACTTTTATGTTAAAAAAGCTTGCAACGTTGTGTTGACAGCGAATCGCAAGAGCAGACCACTAAAGCTTTTAAGATACGTTTTTTGTGAAAAACGAGTTATGTTTTTATTTATGACATAACATTATTATATGAACATTTTGTTCATTGGCGTTTGAAAGCGTTAAAAAACATAAGTTTTTTAACTTTTATAGTTGTTAACCGGTGAAATGGAAAAACTGCTTATTTTGTTAACGTTAAAAAGTAGGTACGTTTAAAAGGCGTGCTCGTAAAAGCTCTTTTCGCTTATTATAAACGCTTTTTAGTTAGAAGCTTAAAACGTCGTTTAGAAAAACGTTTAAGCGCATAGACTTTATGTTTAAAAATGCTTGCAACGTTATGTTGAATTAATTTGTTTAGGAAACATAGATGGCGCTATTTGAAACTTAGGCACGTTGTAAAAAATGAAATTGTTGAGTATCTATAGAACTGACCAGTGATAACGCTTACGCTTAAAATGAAAAGCGTGCTTATGCGCTTATTTTAAAAAGCAGACTTTTTAAGTGCTTTTCGTTCAAACGCCTCTAGTTACTAAGATATTATTAGTTTTTTTTTTTGAGATGGAATCGCCTACATGTACACACGCCAGCACATCAAGCTACACATTGTGGTATCTTGTTCCGTTGCACTGGAGGCAATTTTCGAACAAGAATGTGTAGTCTGATGTGCCGTTGTCTGTACATAATAACCAAAATGTGAAATTACCCCATATAACAGTGTCCATGAACCAAAATATCTATATACAATATTTAGAGTACTTCCCCTCCGTGTCCCATAGCCGTGAGACGCCCTGCAGTATAAAGCTAAATCTTATCAAAATAGGAATCTTTTGCGAAACTCTGTAAACAACACATTTGCGATAAGTTTTGCTCAACATCGTAAAACGCCTTGAAAGGATCGCGAAACGCTGGAACCAGAACGCAATAGGTAGTGTGAAAAATATTTGCTATCTCGACTATCACCGGCGCTAGCCTAACCTAGCGCTCGGGTGCAATCAATACCCTGGCGCCCTCTAGTAAAATGAAATACTTGCAGTTAAATTTTCCCCAGTGATCGGAAATTCTGTAATTATAAAACGTGAAACACACTGACAGTGGGTGCGGGACGGGCGCGTGTCGGATCGGGAGCACGGCGGATCCGTGTATTGACATAGACATACATACACATTAATGGCAATTTTTGGTGGAAATAGGCCATCGAGATTTCTATTCTCGTCTTGTCTCGCCAGTGGAAAACCATCTTAAGACCCTGCGCTCGTGTACGCCGCACACCCTGTATAAGATTAAACATGGAAGAAACCCGTGATTATAATGATACTGTAGTAAAAATTCAAGGTGATGGTATGAAATTCAAGGTAATATTTGTCCAAGTGAAAGTCTTCACAAAAAAGGGATTTTCATACAAATAATTTTATTTCTTTTTCTCGATTACGAACCGATGAGGCGTTTCTAGGTGAGACTGTTTGGCAACCCGGTTATTGCTAGAACAGCAAACAATAATCCATTACGCCTTATCTTTTTATCAAAGCAAACAGAATGACTGGATTTAGTAGTTAAATAAAACAATACTACTTATTTACCGATAATCTATTGTCTTACATGCAAGCGAGTGTTTATTTGTTGAAATTTTATTTTGTGATTAAGACTTTGTTGTACACGCTTATTGTATTGTTACGCAGAATGGCTTCATTAGGTACATGTGGGACGAATACAGTTACACAATTTGAAAATTGTACCTTCATATACATAGCGCTCTAATTAACATTGGCATAGCGTTCTTTGAAGTTAAAAAAACCGCCTAATTAAGTTCACCCACCAAGAAATTTCTTCGTTCTTCTTTCGCTCACAAAATAATGTTTGTATTTCTCCCGAAAAATATACAAGAGGGCCGGGCTGAAACCGCTAGTGACCAGAAATCTGTGAGACCTAGCTCACAGATTTCTGTGAGCTAGGTCGTAGGTAGGCACTTCCGATGAAGAATATGTTCACCTGTTCAAAGAGAAAACGTTACGAAAAATACAGAGTAGCAGTAAAGAGTTCGTCCAGGAAAGTACTACCTCCTTACTTATTTCTGCCGTCAAGTAGTAAGCATTACCTTGTTACGGTTTAGATTGAAGAGTTCTGGTGTAATACAGACACATGAGCCTTGTCAATTTACGTCTCAGGGTGACGGGTGCAGTAGTAGGGCCTTTCAGATCTTTGTGCTTTAAAGCTCTGAACGACAATACAACTGTTATGGACAGGCGTGACGCTTACCACCAGACACACTACTTGTTATTTCGGTCACTTGGTAGCATGAAATATAAAAATAAGATAGGCCTTACATTAGGTACGTCTGACGACCTAATTATACTTCATTTATTCTATATCTTATTTAAGAGGATAGAGTAAACCCCATTCTATCCTCTGTAATTGCTGGAACAAATTTTTGGGCAAATTAACTTATTCTTAAATGAATGAATGGAATATTCTTTACTGGACATAAAAATACGGTGACATCATAGAACAGCAACATAAAGTATAGAAAGAGTTAGTTTATGTGCAACAGGCGGCCTTACTGCAATGTAGCAATTTCTTCCATGCAACAAAACCGACCTCAAAAGTTCGTGGAACTTCATCTATTTGCCAAGTTTTATTGAAATCGGTTACCGGAAAGTGCGCGAAACCGGATTCATCCCTTAGTTTGCCACCCTTAGAGGTGGAATATTTTCTTCAAATTTAAATGGAATCAATACTGCGGAACCCTCTTTCCAATTTGAAATGCCACAGTAATGAAAAGTAACAGTCAAATTGAGAACCTCCTTATTTTTTTTTGAAGTCGGTTAAAAATATATGGCCACACACTGTTATCTTCAGGGCATTGACCTTGATGTATTAAAATGAAATATAAAAAGAAACATGCAGATCTATTTATAAATAATGTCATTAGACCAGTTGCACAACACGATTGCATTATCTGTCGTTTATCTCTGCAGTCTACGATATCCATGTAGGCCTAATTCATAAATGGAAATAACGCTATTGCACAATAGTACAAACACATATACTACAATGTTATACTACGCAATACTCCACAAAGCATCAACTTATGTCAGTGAATTTGTATTTAAATTGGATCGCTCTGTTTCAATTTACACAGCTCTTGAATTTCATATTTATTGATATACGTATATAAACTTAATTTCTTTCGATAAGATAATATCGCACTTCTATTACAATAGTGTTGCAACTCAAAATACGTATAATTTAAGGTTATGCCATTGCTAAACGTAAAATTTGATTCTTTACACGTCAAAATCGTCGTTAGAATGTTGTGAGAAACAATTAAAATATCTACTTAACTCAAAATTAGACTTTAGAAACTTTTTGTGGACTAAAACAGACCATTCTCAAATACATGCATTTATTTTTTTTCCTATTTATTTTATATTTGGCTAGTGGAAATAATTAGATGTTTGAATTGTTTAGATTTCTGTAAAATTACACATAATTTTTATTTTTAACCGACTTCAAAAAAGAAGGAGGTTCTCAATTGGACTGATTTTCTTGTGTGTGTTACGCGCTTACTCTAACATTTGT